AAAGAGAGTTTTGAAATCTGAACTTTTCTCTAACTCCTAAGCTACTTTTGGTTCTCTTGCAACAGTGAAAGCCTCCTTCCCGGCTCCCCTGCCTCTCTAGTCTTGCCCTCCTGCCTACTTGTTTCATGCTACAGGTCAAACAGGCCCTTCACCAATGACCTCTGCCCACGGGCCACACTCCCTTACTGCCATGCTCTGTTCCAGGGAGACCCACCTATGTGTGGTTCCTGGAGTGGAAACTACCCCTGCACCTTCCAGTCTCCACGACTTGGCTCTCGTGCTCTCTCCTCACATGCTCTTCTCTCTCCATGTCTCTTCTTTGATGGTCAATCTCTCTTCATCCTTAAAGATTCAGCCTAGCATCACCTCCCACAGGGACCCTCCCCACGTATCACAGGCAGAGTTCAGAGCCCTCTTCCAGTCTTCTCTCTGCACCCTGCACTTCCTCATCACAGTCCTTCTCACCCTGCTCTTAAATGAATGGAGCCCCCATCAAAGTGTGGCCTTCTCGAGGCTAGAGACTATTGATTCATCTTTGTACCTGAATGGCTTGAACAGTTTCGCCAAAACTGTTTATACATTGATATAAAGGTACTGGCATGATACAGAGGGCCCCTGGGATTAGTCCTGGGGCATTTGCTTCAAGTTACTCCAGTCTGTCTCCTCTCTGGGAAGCACACCTCCACTGAGACACATCATCACTGCCACTTAGTCCTGCTGTGGGCTCAGCTGCGAAGGAGCTGACCAGGCAAAACAAATTCAAAGCTGAGAGCTTCCCCAAACAACCATCCTTTTCATCTCTACTGCCCAGACACAGCTCCAGGGTGAGAGGCCCACCAAACTGGCACAGTTTGTGTGAATACACTTGCTTTCACTCCAACCACACTTCCCCTTTTAATGGGATTACAACAAAAGTCATGCTCTGATGATTTTCATGCATATGCAGAAAACATGCTTGAATTCTCCTCCATAATGAATACATGGCCATGTGTCTAAGCTCATGGTCTCTGTATGCTTTCTGCTGTTATAACAGGATATCACAGACTAGACAATTTATAAACAATACAAGTGTATTTGGCTCACAGCTCTGGAGGCTGGGAAGTTCAAGAGCATGGCCCTAGCACCCGGTAGGGGTCAGCCATGGCAGAAGTGAGCGCACAAGACAGAGAGAGGCACCAGAGTCTTCACTCACTTTATAGCAACATGCTCTTGCAGTAACTAACCTTCTTCCTCAATGATGACATGAATCCATTCCTAAGGGCAGAGTGCTCATGACCCAGTCATGGGTTGCACTGGGGCTTAAGCTTCCAACACATGAACTTTAGAGGGACACATTCAAACCACAGCATCCACTGTCTTGGGTAAGCAGGCTATAACAAATATGAAAAGACTGAGGCTCTACAACTTCCACTGGAGATAACCCCGGCCTCTACACTTTAATTCAGGTCACTCAGACATACAGCTACCCACTATATTCCTCAAACTCTCCAAAGAAAGAGATTCCAGCTGCAGGCCAGGCTGCGGGCAATGAGAGGGTCACAGCGCTCACCCACTAGCTAGATCAGCCCATGGGTTATGCTTTGCACCCCAAGTGCTGTCACCAGTGTCTTGGGAGATAAATTCTTTGAAGGTGGCCAAAGGGTGTGGTTGCACAACCTAGGAGTGTTGGGGAGGTGACTTCCTGTGGTGTGAACTTCAGCCAGTGAGACGTGGGACTCAGATGCAAGTTCCCCCTCCTTGCGGTGGACTGTTTAGTGAGGCAACCATTTCACAGGGCCTCTGCAGGCTGAACAGGCAGCCAGGCTTAATAAAATACTACAACCAGCAGCTAACACACCCCTTCTGTATACTCTCCCCGCTTGCCTGCCACCTTTCCCTTCCCCTCACCTCTGCATCTGTGGACTTGCACGCCCTGATTTAGCATGCAAGCTTTGACCTTGGGCTCTGTTTTTAGGGAGATTGGCCTAAGACAGCTCTCATACTTCCTGTATGCCAAATACTCTGTGTGTGTATGGGTGTGTGTGTGTGTGTTATTTAAGTCTTCACAAAAAAACAAAACAAAACAAAAAAACCTTTGCAGGTAAACACTAGAGCTGTGGAGGAAGGGGCGAAAAGGATAAAATGGTGTGCCTAAGTAAACACAGCTAGTAAATGGATGAACTGAAATTTTAGCTTTGCTCTGTCTAACATCAAGATTTGTGTTCTCTCAGATCCGGGTCCTGAGATCAGACCGACCAGGGCTGAAATGCTGGCTCTGAACTTACTAGCTCTGTGACCTTTGTCAGGCTACCTAACTTCCCTGAGCTGCCATTTCCTCATCTGT